CTCATTCACCTGCCTATATGGATAAACGATATAGGAGCCTTTTTCTATTGTTTCTATTTCTTTCGCAAATTTTTTTATCCTTTCTAACGAGATTTTATATTTAATAAAGATATCCTCATTTTGTTGAAAAAGTGATTCTAGATCATGTTTTACATAATTTAATCCTCGAATCGTTTCAACTGAAGTGAGAATGATTTGTTCAAGAATCTTTTTGCTTTTCTTTAGGTTTTTTATGATACCCTTTATTTCATTGAGTAATCTATAAAGTTCATCAGCAAAAGACGCACTTCCGGTTGTTACTATTGGTTGTTCCATATGAAAAATCTTTGGGGAAATTTTTTTTTTAAAAAAAAAATAAAAATGAAAATGTCAACTGAATAACGATAAACGAATTTGAAACTTTTAAATATGCATATGCAAATATATTAAGAAATTTCATGCTCATTATACCTTTTATGTGCATATACACACATTGTTAATTTGGCCCGAATTATCCTGTCTTGCAGGAACTATATGCATAATTATGTACATGACATGTGCATTGCCCCATTACAGCCATCACTGATGATTATATTGTCATTCTAAGTTACGCTCAAACAGTACGTATGTATTATGCATGACGGACAGAAGATGTTGAATTCACCTTCCTCTAAGTGTTAAATTTTTTTAAAATAGAAGCGTATGCATAGTTCATCGTAACTTTAATTACATTGCGGTAAACGGTTCTGAAACTGTTTGCTAAAATTTCAGAATTATGTACAAAATAAGTAAAAATAAATAACGATAACATAAAAATGAAATAAAATAAGATAATATGAAAAAAAGGTAACTCATTGTCGATAATCACATTCTGGTTTTCTGTAGAAAGTTCCAAGTGTTCAGGTGATGTATATCATAATAGTGCGACCAAATAGGAAATGCAGGAAGATTGAAAACGATAATTTAGGAAATATCTATTTTCAAATTTCTGCATTATCTACGAAGTATGTACGTATGTACGTACGTACGTACGTCGTATACTGTGCTACCGAAAGCCTAGAATGTTACTTCGAATTGACGTACGTACGTACGTACCAAAAGTACATTAAAATGTAATAGGTTACTTTCGAACAAAGGTTAATCACGCAAAAAAGTGCAAAATCAAAATAATAACTAAAAAAAATTACCAAAGGATGCCTTTATATTATAAACCTTAACTGTCTGAGTTATAATTTAAAAGTCGCTCATCAAATCATAATTTTATTCAGAGTTGCTCATCCATCTAAAATTGTCATACAAAGGCCTTCAACAAAAAATTTCCAAAAAGCAAGATGACGAAAAAGATCGTATAACTGATAAAAATGATGTGATTTACACTAAATGTTTCAAAAAAAAAAAAAATTAGTTGTTTTGAGATTTTGTATTGATAAGTTACAAATTTTATTAGTGACTAAATTTTTTAAAAAATATACTTTATGAGTGCCGCAAAGCGAAACCAGTAATTGTTGGTTATCCGAAAATTCATTTACATAAACGAGCTTATCAGAATCTGATAAGCTCGTTTATGTAAATGAATTTCGGAAAACCAACAATTACTGGTATTCACTTTGCGATACCCATATTAATATAAAATACTTTTCACCTATGATGCGAGAACACAGAAAATTGGAAAATATTTATTTGTGTAAATCAATCAGTATGCTATTTCTGTTAATATCACTAGTCCTATCGTTATTTTACTATAAAACCAAAAATTTCGCGCTGTTAGCAAGGATTAGGGGCTTTACTACAATGTTAGGGTTAGAAGACTAGCGATAACAATTTTTCATGAAGAAACCTTTTTTATTAGCACACAGAAGGTTTTCATAGACAAAATTTTAAGCTACGAGCGTTTTTTTTTGTTGGTGTGATTTTTCGCATTTCTTCTTCGTTACGTATTATTCTGAAATTTAATTGGCCAGCGAGATTCTTTATACTGGTAATTTAACCATTACTAATATCTAATTTCAGTTACATGTCAACCAAAAGTGAAACATGGAGAAAGTAACATACATTTTTCTGCTCACATGTTGTGATACGTACTGTATATGTCGGTAAGCGGTAAAACCCGTATTGTCGCATTTCATTCATGAGTCCTATGTAAAGTAATATAGTCAGTTGGGTTAATAAATTTATTTACGCATGATAATAAGTATTTATTATACCCATGCATACGTATGATAGTTCAGACTAACATTTGAATTCTTTGAATTTTCATATAAACCTATTCCTTAACCATAATCCTAACACGTTAACATGAAGTATAGTCCTAACCTAACCTTAACTATCTGCAGGCAGTATATCTACTGATATATATATATATTGTATTTCCGACTATATTACTATAAGCAACACCGTTACTTCATTATATTGAAGGTTTTTTCTTCGCATATATGTATTGTATGTACATTCGTACTGACAAGGTGCATGCACAAGTGGAAACTTCGGCACTTTCGCTGTCAATATATGTCGTTTTCCATTAAATTATGTACAGTGAATGCACAAAAAAATTGTAATCATGGAAGTCCCGAAACATATCGTGTCGTGTGATTATTGGTGTTATAGTACTTAGACCATCATACCAATTTAATTTTGCACGAAAAGCATAGGTGCGCCTTGGTCATGTGGTTGGAAGAATTCCGGACAGCAAAAGTGCCGGAAATAAATTCAATTAAAGGACTTTAAGTCCGCAGAATACATTGAATTGGTAATTTTAAGTAAATAGTGATTTAAGTAATTTGAACTGAAACGATGATATGCTCCCGGAAGATTAATTAAAAAAATCTAAAACAAATAAATATTTTAAAAAATACTTTATCATAAAAATTAGTACAATAAACTATTTTTTATACTTTAGCAAAATTTTTTAAATGATTTTACCTTAAAAAAATTTGCGAAAGAAATAGAAACAATAGAAAAAGGCTCCTATATCGTTTATCCATATAGGCAGGTGAATGAG